AACCATTCAAACGCTTCAGAACCATTCAAAACTCATCTAGAACCATTCAAACGCTCCAGAACCACTCAGACCTCTTCTAGAACCATTCCCAACGCTCCAGAACCATTTAGAACGTTTCAGAACAATTTAGAACCGTTTAGAACTAACCTTCCACCAGCGATATCTTCAATGGTTCCGGCCTCATCGTCGACAGAACCTCCCCTTGGGGCGAAACGAAATACACCCTCACATTCTCATGCTGGTACACGATCTCCTCCAGATCTGCTCCAGATCTTCTCCAGAATCATTTAGAACTTTTTAGAATGCTTCAGAATCATTCAGAACTCATCTAGAACCATTCAGAACTCATTTAGAACCATTTAGAACTCATGTAGTACTATGTAGAACCATTCAGAACGCTTCAGAACCATTTAGAACTCATGTAGAACCATTCAGAACTCATCTAGAACCATTCAAAACTAATATAGAACCATTCTGAACTCTTCTAGAACCATTCAAACGCTCCAGAACCACTCAGACCTCTTCTAGAACCATTCCCAACGCTCCAGAACCATTTAGAACGTTTCAGAACAATTTAGAACCATTTAGAACTAACCTTCCACCAGCGATATCTTCAATGGTTCCGGCCTCATCGTCGACAGAACCTCCCCTTGGGGCGAAACGAAATACACCCTCACATTCTCGTGCTGATACACGATCTCCTCGTGCATCGTCTGATTTGGATCCAGACTCAGATCCCGAAGAGCCGTAGCCAGATCTTTGTACGTCCGGGGACCATCTTCTGGATGTTCCAGATCTTCTGGATTTTTCGGATTTTCTGGATTTTTTGAATTTTTTGAATTTTTCGGATTTTTCGGATTTTTCGGATTTTTTTGATCTTCTGGATTATCCAGATTTTCCAGATTTTCCAGATTTTCTGGATCTTCCGAACCACCGACGGCTTGTTCGTACGAAGGGGGCCCTTCGGGGGGCGCCCGGCCTGCTTTGATGCAATTCAAGCGCTGCAAAACTTCGCTTCGCGTTTGTTTGATTCTCTGGATAATCGAACGGGCTTCGTGCCAGGTTTCGTCCGGATCGTCTGGATATCGGACGGGAATGCTTAGGGCTCGGTCGATCAGTCGAACGGCTTCTTCGTATTTGTCGATTGCCTATAAATAAGGGATTGTTATATACAGGGTGTCCCAATGAATAGTGGCCAATTTAATGAGATTATTGCTCGTATAAAAATGGGCTCGAAGGCGTTATGAAAGTAGGGTGAAAAGGTCTCTTTCGGCCTGAATCATTTACGACTGTCTAGAATAATCCAGAACGATTCAGAACAATCTGGAACGCTCCAGGATCATTTAGAACTGATCTAGAATCATTTAGAACTAATCTAGGATCATTTAGAAGGTTCCTGATTCACTTAGAACTGTCTAAAACCATTTAGAACAGTCTAGAATCATTTATTATAAAACTCGTCTAGAATCATTTAGAACTCGTCTAGAATCATTTAGAAGGTTCCTGATTCAATTCGAACTGTCTAAAACCATTTAGAACTGTTTAGAATCAATTAGAAGGTTTCTGATTCACTTAGAACTGTCTAAAACCATTTAGAACTGTCTAGAATCATTTAGAACTCGTCTAGAATCATTTAGAAGGTTCCTGATTCACTACGAACTGTCTAAAACCATTTAGAACTGTCTAGAATCATTTAGAATTCGTCTAGAATCATTTAGAAGGTTCCTGATTCACTTAGAACTGTCTAAAACCATTTAGAATAGTCTAGAATCATTTAGAACTTGTCTAGAATCATTAAGAACTCGTCTAGAATCATTTAGAAGGTTCCTGATTCACTTCGAACTGTCTAAAACCATTTAGAATAGTCTAGAATCATTTAGAACTCGTCTAGAATCATTTAGAAGGTTCCTGATTCACTTAGAACTGTCTAAAACCATTTAGAATAGTCTAGAATCATTTAGAACTTGTCTAGAATCATTAAGAACTCGTCTAGAATCATTTAGAAGGTTCCTGATTCACTTCGAACTGTCTAAAACCATTTAGAACTGTCTAGAATCATTAAGAGCTCGTCTAGAATCATTTAGAAGGTTCCTGATTCACTACGAACTGTCTAAAACCATTTAGAACTGTCTAGAACCATTTAGAACTCGTCTAGAATCATTTAGAAGGTTCCTGATTCACTTAGAACTGTCTAAAACCATTTAGAATAGTCTAGAATCATTTAGAACTTGTCTAGAATCATTAAGAACTCGTCTAGAATCATTTAGAAGGTTCCTGATTCACTTAGAACTGTCTAAAACCATTTAGAATAGTCTAGAATCATTTAGAACTTGTCTAGAATCATTAAGAACTCGTCTAGAATCATTTAGAAGGTTCCTGATTCACTTAGAACTGTCTAAAACCATTTAGAACTGTCAAGAATCATTTAGAACTCGTCTAGAACCATTTAAAACGGTCCAGATTCACTTAGAGCGCTCCATAGTCATTTAGACCGCTTTAAAACCATTTAGAGCTCAAATTTTGATGACAAATTTTTGCACATTTTTTGTTACAATTTTTCCTAATTTTTTTCTAATTTTTGAACATTGTTATTTTCCACCATTTTTAACGCAATTTTTTTGCCAAATTTCGCGCATTTTTTACCAGATTTTTGCGCTTTTTAATGTAATTTTGAGCATTTTTTTGTCTCAATTCTTGAGCATTTTTATCGCAATTTTTTACCAAATTAATGCACATTTTTTTGTTTCAATTTTTTCTAATTTTTGAACATTGTTACCCAATTTTCCACAATTTTTAACGCAATTTTTGCCAAATTTCGTGCATTTTTTACCAGATTTTTGCGCTTTTTAATGAAATTTTGAGCGTTTTTTTATCTCAATTTTTGAGCAATTTTTGCACTTTTTTTAAGGAATTATTTAATAATTTTTGAGCATTTTTGCACAATGTTTCTCAAATTCTTAGCAAATTTTTCACCATTTTTTTTGTCCTATTTTTCTAAAATTTTAGACCAATGTTTACACATTTAGTGTTCATTTTTTTTCAATTTTTTGTTTAATTTTTGAGCATTGTTATCCCACCTTTCACCTTTGTTAAAGCCATTTTTTACTATTTTTAGCCATTTTTGCGCTTTTGAAACACATTTTAACTGCCTCCAACCATTTAGAACCATTTAGAACGCTTCAGAACCATTTAGATCGCTCTAGAACTGCCCAGGATTTTTAAAACTTTTAAAACCATTTTAAAATCGACTAGAAGCATCAAAAACAGTTCAAAACGATGCTAGAATCATTTAGAACAGGTTCAAGACTATTTGGAACCTTCGTCCAAGATAAACTAGAACTGTCCAGGATCATTTAGAACCATTTTAGAACCCACTAAGAGCACCCAAATTGGTTCAAATCGATGCTAGAATCATTTATAACTTTTCAAAATCATTAAGAACAGGTTCCAGATCAATAGGAACGGTCCAGGATAAACTAGAACTGTCCAGAATCATTTCGAACTCATCTAGAACCATTCAGAACGCCCCTGAATCATTTTAGATTGCTCCTTAGTCATTTAGAATGCTTCAGAATTATTTAGAACAGTCTAGAACCATTTAAAACGCCCGAGAATTATTTAGAATGCTCCAGAATCATTTAGAACTGTCTAAAACAATTTAGAAATGTCTAGAGAAATCTAGAACACTTCAGAACCGTTTAGAACGCTCCAGAACCGTTTAGAACCATCTAAAACCATCCAGAACGCTTCAGAATCATTTAGAACTAGCTAGAACCATTCAGAACGCTCCAGAATCAATTAGAACCGTCCCGAACTAAAGATTACAGTATGAAATACCAAGTATATATTTTTTTTCGAATAAATTTTGTATTCTTCTAATAGTACTTACTTACTTACTCTAATAGTTTAAAACTGTCTAAAACTATTTAGAACTGTCCAGAGCAATCTAGAACACTTCAGAACCATTTAGAACGCTCCAGAACCGTTTAGAACTGTCTAAAACCATCCAGAACGCTTCAGAATCATTTAGAACTATCTAGAACCATTCCGAACGCTCCAGAATCAATTAGAACCGTCCCGAACAAGTATATATTTTTTTTCGAATAAATTTTGTATTCGTCTAATAGTACTTACTTCGTCGGGTTTTTCGCATTCTTCTAGCTTTATAGCCGCGTCTATAGCTTCTAAAGCTGCTGTTTTTTTCGATCTGATTAATTTATAGGTTTCCTCCCAGGAATTCTGTCTATTGGCGAGCATTTTCGAAAACCAAAACTCAAAACTTAACACTTAACCTACTTATCGCAAACTTCACACTGGTCAAAAGTCAAAATAGAAACTTGTAAGGTTATGTTGCCTTGGTGTTTACTTGGTTTTTTGTAATGTAACGAATCCGTGTGCACTAAAATTACGCGTTGAATGTCTTGAACTTTGTTCATGTCGCAATTAAACGGTTATCGTAATATTGTGAAATCGCTTCGGGTAAATTCGAATCTCCCGCTCGATCGGACGTTTCTAGAATGTTTCTCAAGCCGCTCCCGATTGGTCGAACGAGTTCGATACCTCATAACTTTTTGACATTTGACAGCAGGTTTTTGTGTAGAAACATTTATTTATTGTAATTTTGACGAATTATTGTACGCTAACATTACGCTTTGAATTAAATTACAATTAAATGGTAATATTCGAGTAAATTTGAATCTTCTACTCGATCGGACGTTTCTAGAACGTTCACAGGCCGCTCCTGATTGGTCGAACGCGTTCGATTCGTAGATACTTTTGACATCTGACAGCTAGTTTTTACGTAAGAATAAGAATCATTTATTATCGTAATCGTAACGAATTATCGTACGCTAACATTACGCTTTGAATCAAATCGCGGTTAAACGGTAATATTCGAGTAAATTCGAATCTCCCGCTCGATCGGACGTTTCTAGAACGTTTCTCAGCCCGCTCGCGATTGGTCGAATCGATACGTCAAAACTATTGACAACTGACAGCCGGTTTTTTCATCCGGCCATTTTGCGTAAAGTCGCACGTGAAGAATAGAAGTGCTCGAAGCGAATTTCAAACGAGAAAAATGTTATCGGCCGCTCGCGCTATCAGCAGAACAGCCCTGGACTGTTCCAAATCCAATTTCCACGAAAGCGCAACGAGGAATTTCAGCCATTTTCTCACCAAGGTTAGTCCAAATTCACCCCTTCGCACTTTCAACGTTTACCCCATTTTCCTTCACGCCTATTACATAATTCAATCGCACTGTATTAGCACTAAGTATTTCTCGTTTTGTAGAGATCGTCCTTGTACTGTTCGGGCCCCAAATATGACGGCCATTTGCGCTACAAGTAAGTACACGCTTTTGAATCTAGTAACCTTAAAACTCGATTGAATCGCTTTAATTCGCGTCAATTCGTAGATCCGAAGGAGTCAAGGGGGCCGTGATCGGCATCGATTTGGGCACCACGAATTCCTGCGTAGCCGTAATGGAGGGTAAACAGGCCAAAGTGATCGAAAACGCCGAAGGTTCGAGGACCACTCCGTCGGTGGTGGCCTTTTCCAAAGACGGCGAACGGCTAGTCGGCATGCCGGCCAAGCGACAGGCCGTTACGAACTCGGCGAACACGTTCTACGCCACGAAACGGTTGATCGGGAGGCGATTCGAGGACGAGGAAGTGAAGAAAGACATGTAAGGGGGGCTGCTTAGCGGCTCGTACGAAGTACAACGGATAGCGGATGGCTGATAAGAGTGGTAGAAAGAGGCCACTGTTTGTTATTAATTTACGAATCGAGCGACTGCTGGATTTCGTTTCTCGTGTATAGCCCTTCGCTATCCGGGTACTGTATAAATAGGAGTTTTAAAAGGACCTGTAAAGGGGGTAAATTTATGGATATATTTTACGGAAAGTATTGTGAAAAGTTCTCTCGATCTGATGATGAATGAGCGCGATTTTCGAATGAGCGAATGATTTAGTTTCGGGAGAGTTCTAAATGGTTCAGGGGTGTTTTGGATTGTTCTGAACGGTTCTGGAGCGTTCTAAAACGGTTCTAATTGATTTTGGGGCATTCTAGATTGTTTTAGACGTTTGTAAATCATTCTGGTGCCTTCTAAATGGTTCTAGATGAGTTCTAAATGATTCTAGATGAGGTCTAAACGATTTTAGATTGTTCTAAATGGTTTTAGGTATTTCTAAGTAAATCTGGAATTTTCTAAATGGTTGTAGATGATTTCTAAATGATTCCGGGGCGTTCTAAACGATTTTATACTGTTCTAAATGATTCTAGATTCTAGAAACGGTTCCAGATTCTAGACTGTTCTAAATGGTTTTAGATAGTTCTAAGTGAATCTGGAAACGTCTAAGTTGTTCTAGATGAGTTCTAAATGATTCTGGAACTTTCTACAATGTTCTAGATGATTTATAAATGATTCTGGCGCGTTATAGATCGTTTTAGACAGTTCTAAATGAGTCTAGAAAGCCTAAATGTCTAGAAAGCGCAAAAATCTTATAAAAAATGTGCGAAATTTGAAATAAATGGCCTTAAAAATGGTTGAAAGTGTGGTAACAATGCTCTAAAATTAAGATACAAAGAGCTCAATAATTTGGTAAAAAATGCACGAAATTTGGCAAAAACTGTCGTAAAAAATGGTGAAAAATTGGGTAAAAATTAACAAAACTGATGTTTGACAAATTGAACAAAAAATGTACAAAAATTTTCCAAAAATGATTCTAAAACGTTCTAAATGACTATGGACATTATAAATTATTTTGGACAGTTTTAAATTCTTTTGAAACGTCCTGGATGGTTCTAGACAGTTCAAAACGATTCAGGCCGAGAACTTTTCGCTCTACCCTCGTATAGCCCCCACTATTCGCAAACATTTGTCCAATACTGTATTGGAATATGAAATTGAAATTTAACACGTTGACTGCCACTACAATATTCGAAATTCCCGTCTAAGAAGCCGAGTTCGTTGAATCGCACGAGATTAATACGAGATAACTCGTAGATGGCGTTCGTTTCTAGGACGGCGCGCTACGAGTTATCTCGTAGTTGGCGGGTTAGTTTTACAAATTGCAGGAAGACGAGTTTAATAGTATTCTAAATACTTGCGAATCGATTTTGTAGGTCATATGATTTTAATACGAGATAACTCGTAGATCGCGATCTTTTCTAGGACTCTCCGACTACGAGTTATCTCGTATTGATATCGTATGATGCAATGCGCTTGCGTTCTTTTCTAGGACGCCGTACTACGAGTTATCTCGTAGTTGTTATTTTTATAAATCGCAGGAAGACTAGTGTAATAGTATTCGTAATTCCTAATCGATTTTGCGGATCATATGATTTTAATACGAGATAACTCGTAGCGCGGCGTCCCGGACAAGAACGCCATCATCACTACGAATTATCTCGTAGTTGGCGGATTTAAAGCACCGTTCCTAATATCTCGTATCATTTCTCACAGGAAAACCCTCTAGTACAAGATCTAAGCCAGCTACGAGATAACTCGTATTCAACTTGCGTTCTTGCCCGGGACGCCGCGCTACGAGTTATCTCGTAGTTGTTAATTTTTATAAATTGCAGGCAAACTTTAAAGCTTTAAAACACCGTTTTTAAACCGTTTTAAGACTTTAAAACACTATTCCTAATAATTTCCATCTCTATTCTCGCAGGAAAACCCTTGCATTTAAGATCTAAGCCAACTACGAGATAACTCGTAATCATCGCGTTCTTCCCCTGGACGCCTCGCTACGAGTTATCTCGTAGTTTGAGGGTTAAATTCCATAAATTGCAGGCAGGCTAACTTCAAAACACCTTTTTTCTACCGTTTTTTAAACCGTTTTAAGACTTTAAAACACTATTCCTAATAATCTCCATTTCTATTCTCGCAGGAAAACCCTTTCGTACAAGATCTAAGCCAACTACGAGATAACTCGTAGTCATCGCGTTCTTCCCTTGCACGCCGCGCTACGAGTTATCTCGTAGTTTGCGGGTTAAATTCTATAAATCGCAGACAGGCTAACTTCAAAACACCTTTTTTCTACCGTTTTTAAACCGTTTTAAGACTTTAAAACACTATTCCTAATAATCTTATTTCTATTCTCGCAGGAAAACCCTTTCGTACAAGATCTAAACCAACTACGAGATAACTCGTAGTCATCGCGTTCTTCCCCTGCACGCCGCGCTACGAGTTATCTCGTAGTTTGAGGGTTAAATTCCATAAATTGCAGGCAGGCTAACTTCAAAACACCTTTTTTTTTTACCGTTTTTTAAACCGTTTTAAGACTTTAAAACCGTTTTAAGACTTTAAAACACTATTCCTAATAATTTCCATCTCTATTCTCTCAGGAAAACCCTTGCATTTAAGTTCTAAGCCAACTACGAGATAACTCGTAGTCATCGCGTTCTTCCCTTGCACGCCGCGCTACGAGTTATCTCGTAGTTTGCGGGTTAAATTCTATAAATCGCAGGCAGGCTAACTTCAAAACATCTTTTTTTTACCGTTTTTAAACCGTTTTAAGACTTATGCCCAATTTCACCAACATGTTGTTAGGTACTTCCTAACTAAGTAATTCCTAAGGTAGGAATTACTTAAATTGAGTACTTACCTAAATCTAGTTTCACCAACATTAGAAATCCCTTACTAAGAAATACCTAGGTAAAAATTTGATTTCGACAATTTTTTGAATTTTATTGGTAGCATTGGTTAATTTTGACGTGTAAACCGAAAAAGCGGAGATCGAAATTGAATATGTTGAGAGAAAAGAAGAGATGTTGATGATCCGGGCCATCTTTAAACTATGTTAGTTATTTTTAAATCTGCTGAAGATGTCTGTACATGAATAGAAAAATAACCTTTCCGATCTGTAAAATAGTTCTACATCTTCTCCTCCAGGACAATGGATCTTTACATCCATGTGTATGGTCAATAGTTCCAAAAACTTCCTGTGTATCAAATTAAAAATAATCTTCAATTCTTTCTAATATTTGTAATGCCGTATTTTTATGTATCGAAAAAGACTAAAAAAAATCAGTTTCGACCAGTTTCTAAAAACTCTCCTGCCATTTTAAATTTTCATCTAAAGAGTGTAAAGACAGTCAAGACTTAAGTCACATGAAATCACATAAAAAGTACGGTTAAGTATTTCCTAAATGTTTTAGGCAAGCCCAGTGAGTTGTCCTAACTTTAAGCATTTCCTATTACTTTTAGGTATTACTTAATGCATGGTGAAACGCAAATTGTACTTAGGAATTCCTAAAACCGGTTTAGGTATTACCTAACTTTAGGAACTGGTTGGTGAAATCGGGCATAAAACACTATTCCTAATAATCTCCATTTCTATTCTCGCAGGAAAACCCTTTCGTACAAGATCTAAGCCAACTACGAGATAACTCGTAGCGAGGCGTCAAGGGGAAGAACGCGATGACTACGAGTTATCTCGTAGTTTGCGGGTTAAATTCCATAAATCGCAGACAGGCTAACTTCAAAACACCTTTTTTTACCGTTTTTTAAACAGTTTTAAGACTTTAAAAACACTATTCCTAATAATCTTATTTCTATTCTCGCAGGAAAACCCTTGCATTTAAGATCTAAGCCAACTACGAGATAACTCGTAGCGAGGCGTCCAGGGGAAGAACGCGATGACTACGAGTTATCTCGTAGTTTGCGAATTAAATTCCATATATCGCAGGCAGGCTAACTTCAAAACACTATTCCCACTAACACTAAAACACTATTCCTATAGTCGTTTTATTTTAAAATTGTCATTATCGCAGAAGGGCCGATTAAAACACAGTAGTCTTTTAAATCGAAATTTTTTATTTTATTTTAAATTCACTTTCAAAGTATTCGGAAGACACGTCTACATTAAAGAACAAAGGCTAAAGAATTAATACTACTTTTTATATAAATTCTTTTATGGAAAAAATGTCGACTCGGTCGGTATACAATAAGAAACCATACAGTTTTATTTATACTTTTGCAAACATACAGGGAGGTGTAATTTTTGTATAATAAATATTTCTTTATTTTCAACAATTCCTAATAATCTCCATTTCTATTCTCGCAGTAAAACCCTTGTATATAAGATCTAAGCCAACTACGAGATAACTCGTAGTCATAGCGTTCTTCCCCTGGACGCCGCGCAACGAGTTATCTCGTAGTTTTTCGTGTTAAATTCCATAATTTGCATATAATAATCTCATTTCTACTCTCGCAGGAAAACCCTTTCGTACAAGATCGTTAGAGCGTCGAACGGCGACGCCTGGATCCAAGGTAGCGACGGCAAAATGTATTCGCCCAGCCAAATCGGCGCCTTCGTATTGACGAAAATGAAGGAAACCG